TATTTTCAATGCTCTAGCATTCAGAAATGTTTAGTCTCTAAAGATCATGTAGGAAGCAACAATAGAATCATGGGTGCTAAGGTTCATAGTTGTTATCCATCTCCTTAATGAAGTAATATTTATGGTACACTTCAGCCAGTTAAGATTTCCACTATTTGCAAATGAAAACTGCTAGTAAAGAATGCTTTCACTTTCTGGGGAACTTGAGTCATCAATACATTGGCAACTAGCATTTAAAGCTCCATTCGGGGATCTATACATTAGTTGCTATCAGCTCACCTAAAAATAATAATTTTATCATTTACCATTCGATTGTGATCTATGTTGCTATCAGCTCCATAATAAAATAAAAATAATTGTATCGATATTGTTGACTACTTCTACTTCATGAGTATTAACAATTAATGCATTCTTATATGAAGACACTGTTCTAAGTAAAAGATTTGAAGAATTGTCCCTACTTAGCTGCAGTTTCTGTTGTATGTTTTCTGAAGACAAAGAACTTTAGTGATCGATGGTTGTTGTACATGTTCCATGTACTTGCCCGATGTGAAATGTGAAGTTCAGAGAAAGGTTTTCCATCCAAAGAAATAGAAGAAGGAGCATGAGCAGTGTTATTGTGATAAGACAATAATAGGAATATGATTCTTCATTACGTCAGTTACAGCTGTAATACATCGCTCTACAAAACGTAAATCCTAAACTAATTATTGACAGAGCTGTACATTGAATAAAGAGGAAATCCAATGAATTTAACTTGCATCAGTAGCTGTCAGTGTGACAGCTGTAACAATAACAGTTCGCTCACTCACACAAACGTAAAATTCAAAAATTCAAATTTCAACCAATCAGGAACGACCGATGCTAGGAGCTCAGATACCTCCTCGCACTCCTAGTCTCCTGGTGCAAATCCCAATTTTATCCCATTTTCGAGAATCATATTCAGGGGGGGACTTGCGTTTTGATTCGCGAAAACCGCCAACTCATTAAAGCTTAATAACTTTCTTATTAATTGACAAAACTAACGTATTTTATAGCAAACGAAAGCGAAAGAATTATTCTTTAAAACTAATTAAAAAAACAATACTATTTATTCAAAAGAACCGCCAACTCATTAAAGCTTAATAACTTTCTTATTAATTGACCAAAACTAACGTATTTTATAGCAAACGAAAACGAAAGAATTCTTATTTAAAACAGTAAATTAAAATTTTATAATATATATGAATATAACCATTTATTTAACTATTTTTTCAATTTGCTGCAATACCTTCACGTTTTTTTTGAATTAATGAATTATCATCACTTGTGCTAATTAAACAATCGAGCACGCAAATTAATGACAAAACTACAACCTTTCCAATAAGCTAACTGACCGGCATTGCAGCCTAGTCAGTCCATCTACTACTATAAGTTATCAAAGTTAAGCGTTTCATTCTCAATTCAATTTGTCGAGATAATTACATCATTGACCACACAATTTAAAGCTGAACCTTTCCAACGAAACTAATGGCATCTTCGACTTACCAACTCCCGGACTTACGAACAAAATTCTAAAAGCACTAACTTGTTACAAGAAGATACATAATGATAAAAAAGTTAACTGTCCAAACAAAAATTGATAATTTCTTTAATAAAATATAATATTTTTGGAAGATGTTCTATCTGTTTGTTGCATTTGTCGTTTTTTTATTATATAATTGTGATGTCTACATCGAAGAGTATTTTTAAGTTTATTTTAATCAATTTTTCAAATTTATTTAGTCAGTAATAAAAGTAAAAACCATGTGGTAAAATAGGTAAATTTTGACTCAACTTACGAACAACTATTTGGAACAAAGCTAGTTTGTAAGTCATATATGTTCATATAATAATTTATATCAACTACAAGTTTTAAACGTCTTGAATTTCTTAGAATCAGAACATTTTGTGGCATGGAATACATTTAATAAAATGTAAAAAAAGAAGCTTTTGCCACAGCCCTATTTCTGCCTCCCTACAGTTTGTAGACCTATAGTGAAGCATTGTGATTTTCGTGTAAAATCTTCAGCATTTATTGATTTGTTAGCAGTCCACAAAGCGCATGTCCACAAAATATGTTTATTATTATTTTTTTTAAATTTATAATGGTGAAAAATCCTTCGAAATGTATAGGTGAAAAGGAAATGTTTAAATAAAAACAGATGATTCAAGAATAATTTAAAAATATATTTGTAACATAAATTTCGATAAATAAATCTATTAATTTTATTAAGCACTTAACAAGCATTTTTACAAGTTTATTTAGTTCAGTTTAGGTATAATCCGTTGATATAAATACATACACATATATATTGTATGCGTATATATTTATTGTCTGCCCTCCGGTGTTTCCACAGAAGTAGACAGACCTGTAGATCTACATGATGTCAAAATACAATACACATCATAACTTTCATGTTCAAACCTTAAAAATATTTAGTTATATTAAAAAATAATAGACGACATATTCATCTATACACAGATCTCCAGGCGAGTTGCGTAACGACTTATTCAGGCTAATATTACAAAAATCGGGAATCGCTTTTTATCAAATTTATTTTTGCTATCTAGTCTATAAATGTATTTCTTATTATTTTTTTTTTCTTTAAATATATATATGTTTCGATCACTTATACATATATAAATAAAACTAAAAATAAATGGAGTAACAACACTTACAACTTTAGTTTATAATTTTACGTGGTTTGTTTACATAACGGCATTTCCTATATAGTATATAAAAGTAAATTTTGTCTTCGAAAAAAAAAAAACTCTAACTATCTATAGTTTTAGTTCCTGTGAATTCGCTTGCCCTAATTACCTCCTCGATTGAATACAAATGTACATATTAAAAATATGTCAAGAGAGTGAGATAAAAAAATAACTTAGAAAAATCATGCAAGGCAAGGACTTTTTACCCTGACTAAGTATAAAATAAACAAAAAAAAAATATATATATAAGATAATGCATACTAAAACTATCTGTGCTATTATATATATATAATCCTTGTTATATAACGCAGGCAATTTGTTTTATTTCATTAATGTTTTCTTGGCGATAATCTGCTGCCTTACTGAGTAGCATATCAGTGAATATAACATTATATAAAAAAAAAAGAAACAACTCAACATTCAAGATGACTAGTAAAGACCGAGCTCATTGGAAGATTAAACAACATCCTGATCAAATACAAAGACTTTTTGATTACACAATTTTGTTCAAAACCGAATGGAGTAAGAAAAAAAAACTGAACGTTTGAAGAGGAAACGTGGCAATTCGGAACGTACAAAAAAAAAAAGATTGAAAAACAAAATAATAATCAAGAAGTTTTACATAAATAATACTGCATAATTACAAACACCAATTACAAAAAAAAAACTTACTTATAACATATTATTTTACCTAAATGGACCCACCTAATAATTAATAAATAATTTAAAAACTCTAGCGAATGTGTCTATCTCTGATCAGGATCTCTCGCAAATTAAAATAAAACAAAACAAAAAAGTATATGTATATAATAAAAAATAATGTAGATTAGAATTACAATTCTTACTTTCATTCATTACAACTCAGTCAGTATTACTGATTTATTCAATTACAATAGAGTAAATAAAATTGCCGTTGCGATATGAAACTTATTGCACGTAAATTCAAATAATTATATATATATATATTCCGTCAATATATAATGTACATGTTATATGTATCTTTTGATTAGAGAATATGCGCGGGTTTTCTTGGTTTGCAAAACTTGAATAGGTTTCGGCAATAAATAATGTAAAGTTGTGAGTGTAGAGAGAGAAAAAAAAAAAACGACAAGATTTTTCAGAATAATCAATACAGAGTAAGTATTTTATTGCATCAAAATTTGAACATTGTTTCAGAAATAGTAAATAATTAATATTTTTATTAAATTTTGCAATCAAGAAAATCCCTGTTCTATAAAAATTAATGATATATATAGATATAATAAAAAAATGAAATAAACGACAAAACGGCAATTCTACTTAATAAACATTAATTTATTTATAAAACATGAACCATATACAAGCACCTAATTGTAAGAATCATGGCAACTCACATCATCAAATCTGGAAAGACAACATACATATTTGTTTTTGACTCTATATATATAAATTAGATTATTCTATTTTGTTATTATAATATATATTTTTTTTTTAATTTAGTTTTTTTTTTAAATTTTAATTATTATTTAATACTTACCATTTTGCGTGTTGTGCTGCCAAGAGTTATTAGAATTTAGAGTATCGTCAGTGCTTAAAGTGTCAACATTTACAGTATTTGCATTCTTTAAAGTTTCTACTGGGATTCTAAAATGATCATTAATGATAAAAAAGATATGCAAATACCAATATTATATGTATAACTTACATGTTGTCAACTGTCTCTATATCTTTACCATTTTTGTGTCCATTCTCTGATGTCTCAGACTTTGAACCATTTAACTTATCAGAATTATTCTCTTCGTTTCGCTCTTCAGTCTACCAAAAATAACAACAATATAGATAGATAGTCATGAGATGAATTGTAAAATAAGTAAGCGAAATGATAAGCGTGAGACTTCAGAAGCGGCATGTGCGTGTTTTAATGTATGATCTCTTTTTCCCTCAAGTTCCACTAAACTAATATTATTTATTAATAGAGCCAATAAATATCGAATTACATATAATTTATGATAGATTACAAATTATAAATACAAAATAATGAAAAATGAAAAAAAAAAATAGATGTGCGGTATTTTTTTTTTGTTTGTTTGTTTGGAAAGCGATATATTTTTGTTCAGGAAACGTTAGTTACCTGTGGAGGTGTGCTACTATTATTCTTCCCTCTGGTGCGAAGCATAATAGCTTCCACACGCTTCCTCCTCGCCTCCCTTTCCTTTTCCTCGTGCTTCAAACGTTCCTGAAGCTCAGCCTTCTGCCTTTCGGCTTCCTCCCTAGCTTTGCGATCTGCCTCTTCCTTGAGAAGCTTCTGCCTGTGTTCTTCCTCCTTTCTCAATCTTTCCTCCTCCTCTCGCCTCTGAGTTTCACGAATTGCCTAAAACATTCGCATTTAGATAATTAATTCCTGCTAACAATTTAAAAAACAATTAAAATTTAAATACTTCTTCTAATCTTTCCTGCTCGGCAGCTCTCATTTGTTCAATAAGAATCCGCTGTTGTTCTTCCTCCTTTTGTTGCCTCTCGAACTCTATTCTGGCTTCTTCCTCGATACGCAACCTCTCCATTTCTGCTTGTCTTTCAGCTTCCTCACGAGCTAAACGTCTCCTTTCAGCTAAAGCAGCCTTAGCTTCCTCCTCAGTGGTAATACGCACTTTGGTCATAGAAGCACTCATGTCAACCACTTCACTGGTTTCTTCCTCGGACTTTTTATCTTCCTTCTGCGGCTCATTGTTGGTTATAGTAACAGTTGAAGCAGTAGTTGTAGTAGTAGTAGTAACATTAGTACTTTCAATCACTGGTGGTGGCGTGGGCTCCTTGACAACTTCTCTCTGCTTGGATTTAACATTTTCTTCTGAATGATTTAAATCGACGAGTTGCCTAAAAAAATATAATTGCAAAAAAACCGAATTCCCAGTCATTCTTTCAGTATAACTTACTCTGTTAAGGATTCACTTTCTACCTTAACTTTATTGTCTATAAGTTCCCTCTCAACCTTTGTCTCTGTGACCTGTGCAACAGGCGGATTGTTGGTTGTGGGTGATGTTATATTCTTCGGGGTCGCATCTGTGGGCGAGCTAGCGGCTGGCTTCCGTTTCAACTTCTCCTGAGACTTCACTAAGCTGGACTTTCTTGACTTAGGCAAAGGCGGTTTAGTGTTTTTCTCTGGTGTGCTGTTGACGGTAGTGACACCAGTCACGGCTATGCTCACAGGTCGCGGCCTCCTTGGAGCGGCCACAGGCCTGGTCCGCATGTTTACAGAACTAGTTACACTGCTAGTACTTTGCTGACTAAGCGAACTGCTAGGTCTTGACGGAGCTGTAAAGAGACCGTTTTAGAAAGTTGCGTAAATTCAAAGCAAATATTTATCATTTTAGTAACAACGAGATTTAAAACAAAACAAAAATAAAGCAATCGATGAAGAATTATGCAATTGAAAAATAGAGATTGCAATATCAACATGTGAAAAATGAATACCTGAAATGCAGTACAAAATAAAAACCGATTATTGTATGTGAGTAAATTAAAGAAAACACACAAACACACCCTTCAGTTTTAAATTCTAGCCTCTTACTCTTCCAATACTATGATATCTTAACTATTATGAATATGTTCTATCTTAAAGAATATTTGTATGAATGATCTAATTGCGGTATTGCAATCTCTAATAAGAATTTGAAACATATTTAATAACTTGTAGATGCGATGATAGGCAACAATAAAAATGATAATATCATAAAGTATTAGTAGAGGTGAAGATGAAAGAGAGGAAGACTTTATCACCAGCCACCGTTTGTTTAGTAAATCCTTCACCACCGTGGTTCCTTTATAGTTCTGTGTATAATTCCTTTGGAGATTTTGTGTAAAACCAACCACCACTGAAGAGGAGGGATTAATGCACTCAAATTGTTTTACCTTCGCTATGATTGCTGGCATTTGCATTGGCCAATTTCTGTTGGCGCAGTTGGGTGGCGCGGGTGGTTCGCGGTGGCGGCAACGGTGCGGCGCCAGCAGACAACTGGTGCATGCTGCGGCTGTCTGATTTACGAAGAGGTCTTTGGGGTGGTCCTAGCTTACTGACAGCTATGTGGCTCATGCTGCGACTGACTGAGGATTGTTGGGTGTGATTTAGGGGTCTTGGGGATGAGGTTTCAGAGACGGGGGCCAAATCGGGCCGCTTCCGTGGCTTCGACAATTGATCTAAACGCGACATCGAATACGCCCTACCTGGTGATCTAGTAAACGGCTTTCGGTTGCCCGAGGACGGCGAATCTTTCGATGGAATGGTCGGCATTAAGTCGGTTCTTCTGCGGCCCACGTACCCACTGACACAGCCTGCCGGTGTCTGAGGCGGTGTGCCTAAAACAGAAAACATCAGATTGTACTACTGACGATCCGACACTCAACGCGGACTACGTTCAATTTTAGTAACATGCATGCAAAGGTCATACTCGAACGAAAGCAAGAGAAGTGTCACACCAGATAAGCGTGCCGGCAAAATAATACCTAAAAAATCAACGACTGAGCGAACAAAATAAAAACTTTCCAAAACTATCTTGAAAAAATTGAAAGAAAACAAAGACAAAAATAAACAACTACTACTCCACACATTCCAAAATTACTATAACAATTACAATAATTGAGTTCTGACAACTACAAAACAAAACGAATAACTTCAAACAATAAATGAAGAGGTACATAAATTCGCAGGAATCATTTCAGCAAATCAGCTCAGGCATATTTCTAAATAATAATAAAGAATAAACATTGATTGAATGCAGCTGCACAATGACAATTTAATACCAAAATGGACCGAAGAGCTGCGCGTCAATTTTTTTCCGTTTGAGATTGCGGTCGTACTCCCCCAGTTGAATATTTCGTGCATAGAGGATGACATTCGCAGAACATCTGTAAAAGAAACAACACCGAAACCTACAAAATGTATATGGGAACATCTTTCAGATAAGTTTCGAAAGCGCGCAAATCTGCATAGAAGAGGACGAGGCTACGGAAACTAAAGGTAGCCAACAACAACAAAAGAAAAATAAAAATTGCGTACTGAGGATGTATCAGTTGCAATAACCATTTGCATGCAGTTTATGTCTTTTCTTGTACATTTATTAGTCATATACCTTCTCCAGAACGTTCTAATCCGCCAGCCGAAGTTGCCCTTTTCTTGCTGCCTCCGTCGAGCTCCCTCTCGGATTGTCTTCTTGTGAGAGGCACCGCAGTGCATGTAATGTTTTGGGTCGAGGTGGCCCTCCTGTGGCCCCAGAACGATCCTATGGAGTCTGTAGGCTCAAGCATGCGGGGTGTGGAGGAGCCGAACGCGAATACCATCGAGCTCCTGTCATTGCGCTTCTTGGCTTCTATTCTGGCCTCCCTCTCTTGATTCCTTCTAAGAATACTCTCAAGCTTATCTCTTTCGGCCTCATAGATCGCCTTCTTCCTTTCCTCTACCTGCTGCCTCCTTGAGTCTTCCCTGACCCTCAGCTCCTCCATTCTTAGCCGTCTTTCTTGCTCCTTCTGCTCTTTGTGCCGCTGCGCTGCCACAGCTTGCGCCTTAATCTCTTCCAATTTCTTCTGACGTTCCTCATTCTGTCGTTCCTTCAGAGTTCTTATTCTAGCTTCTCTATCCTCTGTAAACACAACAATGTAAAATTTAATTAAAACAATTCAACGAGCAAAAGCAACATGCGTTAATCAAAAAGTAAATAAAACAAAACAAGATGCAAGTATTAGTTTCATAGGCGAAGGGTAAATAAACAAAGGCAAACTCCACAACATCAATCGGCGAACTGGGGTTAGGCTGTTTCGCATGTACTTTTGTGTTTCTTTTTTGGTAAGCAAATTTACCTTCGATCAAGGGCGGGTCTGGCCCCACGTATGCAAACCAGTGCATCGTGCCACCTAAATATGTGTTTCAAGAAAATGACGGATCAAAATGGAATAGAAAAGAAAGAAAAAAAGAATATATATGTAAAAAGAAATGAAAAGAAAGTAGAAACTTTTAATGAGCGCATACCTTTAGCAGCAGATGATGGACGGGACCCAGCTGGAAAACAAAACAAATTGATACCAGTTAGTAAAACTGATAAGAATCTAGGTGTCGGAATGAAAAGCGCGGTGGTACTATGATGAGAGGAAATAAACAGAAAACAAATACGTTGAGGCCTCCGAGAACGCGTGGGTATATAATATTAGAAAATCTAAATATAAAGACGAGCAGGAATCGAGGGAATATCATCCAGGCGCGAGGTTCGCGTATTCAAAGTCAAGGTTCCTCTTAGCCGCCTCCTTGTCACAGGTTCAACAACAATCATTTGCCGAATAAATATATATGCATACAGATATTCGCGGACGCCAACAATGAGCATTACCATTGGAATACTAATATGAATTGCCATGAATTAGGTAACCGTAAGTTGAACGCGCGGGGCCCCCTCCGCCTCCGCTATTACGAAACCCACACATTCCAGCTGCGTCCTTGGTGGAACACCTTACAGATCATCGCCTAACACGAATGCACCACAATTTCACGCACACGTTTCGATTCTGGTTTTGCTTTTCCTCGGCCAAGAAGTGAAGGAAAAACCTGGAGGAGGCGCGACGTAACAAAACGGACGCTTTCATAGCATATGCAAGACATAATTGCATTTGAACTGTTAACCTGGAGAGTTGGAGCGTGCGCTAACAGTCGTAAATTTTGTATATACCGAGAAGCCTAGCTAGGCCTTTATTTCACCTTTTTTCCCTGCACTTAATGCCGGTTATTATATTATCATAATTAAGCTATATATAAAGTCTTAATTGAATAAATCTGTTATGTCTAGTAATTGCTTTTCTCTACGTGGCCAATTAAAGTGTCTCTCGTGTATTGAAAGTAGCGAGTCGTCGGGGTGTGAAAATAAGCGCACTTCCAAGTATGCAATAAGGAACTGGTAGACATCAGAAGACATGGGAGAAGGAATGCAACGAAACACTGGAAATGTGAATAATGTGGTAGACGTAATTGCCTAGATGTTTTCATTGGGATCGCGAAGGTCGCAGCGTTTTTCCTCTCGCGATGCATTTCCTTTTCTGTCAAAATGGATTTGTTAGTTTCGTTTGTTAAATTTCGACTAGAGAGGAACTTCTCTTATTTTTTGTTTGTTTGTTTGTTTGTTATTAAGGAGAACCAGTTCGAAGCTATTAACCCACGGAAGAATGTGGAAAATGCGTAACACTCTCACCTAAGGCGTTATGGGACGCAAAGCGCACTCTCTGTTGCTCTGATTTCTTTTTGTCGTGTATCCCTATGTTCTCCGCGGGCAGCGAAGAGATCAGTATGCTTCTGAGGTGCTCGATCGAGGAACTGGGTATACCTCTGCCACCCATCTGAGGACCCATCAGGAGAAAGAAGAAAATCAATGATAAAAAAAGCAGCAAACTGAACAACCCAGAGAACAGCAAACTGCAGTCCAATATTTGGCCGCGTTCAAACCGAGTGACCAATCGACGATAACTAACTTTTAATAATATGTCCGGATTGAAGTGCGCGCGCTCGCCGTCCCTGGCTATTGTGAATATTAATTAGGAATAGCCAAGACACATAAGGAGATCCACAGCTCACTCACGGTTCGGACCTATCCCGAATCAATAGATTCGTTGATCAAGTATCAACCACCTGATGATCACGATCAACCTAAGTTCGTCGAGCAATCAGCCATCACCGCACCCATCTGCATCATTTTCAGTACTGGAGAAACATATCATTTTTCGGCCAACAATATTAATATATGGAACTCGACCCACTGCTGATAAGATAACAGGCTGAAGTGCGGTGAGCAGAGCTCAGATTCGTTGGAAACATCTAGCGTTTCCTTCGGTCGCGAATTTGCAGAAAACTCCACTTTCCACGCTCACCGAGCAACAATTTTTTTTTTCCTTCAATTACTCATTACAGTCGGCATTACTCATTTCCTTAAAATAGTAAGCGAACGAATGCATTCGGTCTCGCTTGCGAAACACTCAAGCGCTTTAAATTAGCTATAAAATAATAGTAATTACCATTTCAGAGCCATACCATTTCAGTATTTGCTTTTGCGAAACGAGGGAATACATTTCTCAATAACAATATTTACGGCCCGTTCCCATGTAATAGCCAAACACAAATAACTCTATTTAGTATTAAATTTACTTTTCAACTGCACAAATCCTTTATTATTCGATTGCATTTCTTCTAAATATTATTCTTATCATATAATTAACAATTAACAGAATAAAAATACAGTTGCATAACCATTGTTACTACATGAATAGAATGTTTTATTTGTATTTTAATCATGCAATTTTATAATGAATTTACTTGTTTATGACAAAGCCACAAATTATTTTAACGTAACAGGACAGTGTAGTATAATTTGCATAAAATTTAGTCGCATCATTTTGTAATACAAGTTTTCGAGTAACATTAATTAAGAGTCTATAGTAAAATAAAAATGGTATGAAAATATTTGTTAATATTAGAGAAAATAACTTTTTTTTAAAGATCTATCGTGTTTCGCAATCAAGGTTACAGGCATGACCAATACATAAATATTTTCTCTAGCGAAAATATGTATAAAGAAACAACAACCGTGACAGACACGAATTTTCATTTACTGCAAGAGCTGAAGGTTTCCAGTACGAGCCTGGAACTAATTTCGGGTCCGGTTAGATAACCCCAGTACGATCGGGTTCAGAGTTGAGGTTCAACAAATAATAATAATCGTAACAAGAATCGTTAATAAAAAAATTCGTTTTAAATTTCGATATGTCTTGAGAATGATGCATACATAACTTCTTTCGCTCCGATTTCCAGACGATTTAATTTTTACAATTCGATGCGTTCGAATAGGTAATTGTCTTTCGCAAAAGCCTTAATTGAAAGCCCGATCCTGCAATTGAAAGAAACGAAAGAATAATCGTGACTGCTAATCAATCGAAAAATTTCGAGCACTCGATTTCTTCGATCTTAGTTTAATGACGAAAGATGATGTACGGATAATGTAATTAACCTGTGCTTGCTTCTCTATTCATCGGCAAATTACACAGCTTATTTGGTGCAGCAGATCGATAAGTCATGATGGACTCTGTCTGTTGTTACCATTCCTTATTTCTTTGGCTTTCTTGCTGTAAAATGTTTAATTGGCCTCAATTTAATTAAAACTTCGAGTCCACGATGAATCTGTTTTATTGCTTAGGAGAGCATAGGTGGAAGAGCAGAGAAAAACAAACCGGAGCAACACAAACACGTTTAAACTAATTAGATCAATTACAGCTAATTGAGAGGTCTAATTAAGAAGAATAAATATGGAATCTCTACGGTTTCTTGCCGCTTGCGAAGAAGGAAAAGATCGTGGAATTTGGTAAGAGTGTCGAGAAGTAAGTAGTGCGGAATATATTCGAAGGTTTTCTGTTTCAGCCGAGTGATATTATTAATAAATCATATGCAGGAAATGAATCAAAATGGAAAGTCTTTAGAAACACGTATCTCGAGACTAAACAAACCAAAAAAAAATAATTATAAATACGTATAAAATTATCGAGCGAGAGATGATTGCGCCTAGAGGAAGAAATGGAGGAGTCCACTTCAGGACATCAGAAATAGTTTAATGAGTTGGAACATTCGAAAATGGATTAATGGAAGCCATTAATTAACACATACGTGCGGAGCGAGTCCGCAAGGCATCGATAAATATTCGCCAATTATAATTATCTCCGTGGCCGAGAATGAAGAACCGAGCTCAATCTCAAACCATTGCGTAATTTTGTTACACCCGAAGGAGCACCGAATTCTACAGCTCCTCAAATCTATTTATTTTTCTATACATACTTCTTCTTTTCATTCTTTATATTTTTTTTTTGCAACAGCAGCGGCAAATTGGAAAACGAGGTGAAATCGCGAAATTGCAATTAATTTTCGTTGTGCTCGCCTAGAAATTATTAATTACCTCTTCTCCAGAAGCACAGCTGCTCCATCATTTTTCTAAGCCATGCACAAGGTACACTGACAGCTTCGAATTCTCTCACACACGTACGCACGCAACTACAAACAAAACCACATCAATTTCTCCGAAAATATTGAAGACCGGATTGCGCAACGAGTTTTGCAGCTACCTGTACTATAACGCGAGCTCCAGCACACAATTCGCAACTAATCTCGACGACCGTTCCCATGTGTAAACACGGCGGCTCTAATTTATCCCACTTAAGGTATTCAAAACGATTTTTTTTCCGCACGTTTCAAGGTGTTCCGAAATTATGCGTGCACCCAACGTAACCAACAATGCAATTCGCACCTGCAGAATATAATTTATAACTCGACGGAGATGCGTGATGGTTCTCAGCGCTTGTTAGATACTAATGACACTTTCCAACATCTCTTCTTTTTTTTATTATTATATTTTGTTTTGTCAGTTGACCTTCGGCCGAAACGATGCTGTGCTATAATTTGTTGATACTCTGGGCTAGTTCGTAACGGTAATTGGTATAAATAATTGTTTATTCTCATATAACTTGCTTGACTACATTTACCAACAATGGGCATAGTGTTAAATGGTTAAATTCAATCATTCCTCTTGTAGATATAAACAAAACCGTTTACTAGCCTATATTCATTCTTCGTAAAGACCACTCGCTTAAGATACAGCTCGTGTAAATGACCTTTGTACAATAGGAAGATCAACTTTGTTTTAAAATATTGCATGCAGTCAACAACTTATAAATTAGATATTTCGTATGCGAATGTCGTCGAGTTCACTGAATAACAATTATATAGAAAAAAACATAATGGACATAAAGTGATCTAACACCTGAGAAATCGATAATCTAATTAAATAATTAAGTTGAAAATCAAATTATGTAATCGTTATGTAATAATATAAATTGCGATGGTAAATTAGAATGTTCTTGAGATAAATGATGCTGTAGTAGAAATTTCTAAGCAATGGCAAGGAAATAATCCTATAAGGATTTTGAACTCGTGTTATCTGTCGTAACAGAAAGATCGCCCACGACAGATCAATAGTATAT